GGCTGGCATCCCGTCGACGGGCAGGATAGTCACATGACCTTGAGGGTCCAGGTTGTGGGCTGACTGGCACCACATGCCCCACTGAGGAGCGCACGGAGGGTGCATGCCTGGGCATGGACCGACCCCTATCAAGCCACCTCTTCCTAGGCTGTGCCGGCAAGTGTGAGCGGTGCCAGGCCTTGTGCGGTGCCGGGGAAGAGTGGTGCATTGAGGTGTCCCACACCAAGGCCGGTGCACTGCCAGGGCCTGGTGCCGAGGCTAGTGCCAAGGCTGGTGCCGGCTGGAGAGCTGCCTCCATTAGGAGCGTCTGAAGTTGAGATTTGCGCTCTCGCTTGGTCCTGGGTTAAAATGCCTTGCAGATCTTGCACGCAGAGGTTATATGCAACACTCTTTGGCACTTCAGACAGGAGGGCTACATCTAGACTGGCATGATTTTCCGCAAATGCTTTTAACGGAAAAGTGCTTTTGCAGAAAACTTGCCAGTCTAGACACAGCCGAGGACTATGGGTTGCTACAGGGAATAGACTTGCTGCACTTCTTACAGGCCTTGAAGGCTTGAGGGCCAGGCATGCCCTGCTGCGGGTGCAGGGAGCTTCGCGGTGGGGTGGAAAGGGTGAACACAAAGGAGAATCTTTAGAACGAATTCACAGGTTCTTAACTGAAGCATGCTGATAACAGGGTAGAAGAATTAGCAAGGGAAACAACTCGAGGAGGAGCTGAGGGTTGTTCCAATGACCATCACGGTGGTAAGAAGGAACTGAGTGAGGAGGGGACCAGCAGGGGTATATATGCACTGATATACCGGCGCCACTCCAGGGGGCTCCCTGCTGGCCCTAAGGGTACTGCTGAGGGAAAAAACTTCTGACGATGTGTGCATGCTGCACACACCTATATTGGAATGCACATGAGCAATCACTCGAAGATGAAAATTCAGTTGATTATCTTCGTATTTATGGATTTAAACTAGACTTTTAATGTTGATTTAATGGCTATAAACCTGGTATATGGTGCTATTCTCAACCTTCCATTCATGACATGAACACTTCAACTTCACCCAGTGCAACTGCTTTCCTTTTGACCTACTTTTGCCTGGTAAATAAACAGAACTTTCCTGACACTAAATTTAATACAAAGTGCATGATACTTTCCAGACCTATCATTCCTTCCATGGTAATTAGTGACATAAGTTATTTCTTAGCTTCATAAGCTGTGTTTTGAAATTGAGAATTAAACACAATTATCTTTCTATTTTTGTACTAGTGTATAATTTTTTGAAAAAGTGCATGTCTAAGATACATAATGGGAACATAGAATCTTTTATGATATAGGCTTCTTTATTTATTTTCTTGTCCTTGCTATTCATTTAAAGAAAGAAAATGTATAGTCAATTTTTTGTTCTTTTTTGTTTTTTTCTGGATTGTCTTTCACATCCCTATCTGAGGCCCTGAAATTCTGTCTCACGTTTTCTTTCTCTAAATTAAAGGCCAGATTCTGCAGTCTCTTCTCAGGCAAAACTCCTGAGGAAGTTCAAGAACTACACTACGAACTTTTAAAAATCTTAGTAGGTGCCTATCTGCGTCTTTAGGTTTCTAAATACCTTTAAGAATCTAGCTGTGTGTGCTTAGAGAGAGCTATCAATAGCTAGTGGACCTTACTGGATCAGCTATTTAATAATGCATGCAAACCTCTTTTTGCATGCACGGATACTCAAACAGATACACACTGAATATTGAAGAAGCAATTAGATAATATTGTTTTATTAAAAGCTAACAAAATTGTTTCCAGAAAAAGTTACTTTCTACATAAGAAGTAACAAGAACATAAAGTCTGCCACAATTTATGCCCTTTGAAGTGCAGACCTGGAAAAGGGAAATCTGATTATTGACAAACTAAAAAACACAAGATATTGAAACAAAACACACAGTAGGAGGGAGGTGGGAAATGCAGGAATGAATGTGGTAAAAGTAGAGAAACTAAATGAATCAGTCCTTTTGGCATCTGGTAAGAATCTGGCCTTGGTGGTGAATTTCAATGTCACAGCCTTCCCTTTTCATCGGCTGGTTTCTTTTCTGCTGAAGCCTGTATCAGCTGATTGATAATCTTGGTCTAGCTCGGTCTTTCTCTTGTCACTCCAGTTTATAGATGTTTCCCACGTGCTACTACTTGATAGGCATGCAGGAATGGCGACATCAGTGTCGGGAGTCTAAATTACTCACGCAGAGTTAACTTTATGAAGGGAATGTAAATTTGATTTACTTGTTGTGTGTGGATGGGGTAACCTGTCTTTGTTCTCTGTTTGTACCTCACCTAGCACAATGAAATTTCCATGCATGACTGAGCTCCTAACCACTACCACAATATAAATAATAAAGTCAACTTAGCTACATTGTGCATGTTCCTGTAGGCAGGGTTTCCCTTGAGCATGATCAAGAAAAATTCCAGCATAGCCATCCTTTGATCTTCAAGGATTATGATGATGTCCTACTGTTCTCAGGCAATGAGAAAGAATCAAAACAAAATATTCTAGGCAGAATGGCTGTGATTTCAAACTGTCATCTGTTGAACAAAGCCTTCATCTGAGCCATGTCGCTGAATGTGAGCTACTTCTTTATGCTGCTGCTTAAAGATGCCTGCTAGTACAGGCAGTCCCCGGGTTATGTACAAGATAGGGACTGTAGGTTTGTTCTTAAGTTGAATCTGTATGTAAGTCGGAACTGGTGTCCAGATTAAGCCGCTGCTGAAACTGATCAGTTTCAACGGCGGCTGAATCTGGACGCCAGTTCTGACTTACATACAGATTCAACTTAAGAACCCCAGGCTCCGGGGCTTTGCTCTGCTTTGCTCCCCGTCCCCCTGGTCTACAGACCAGGGGGACGGGGAGCAAAGCAGAGCAAAGCCACGGAGCACGCGGGCAGCGGACAGCCCAGACGCGTCTGGGCTATCCGCTGCCCGCGTGTTCCGCCGCTTTGCTTCCTCTCCCTGGTCTGCTGGAGACCAGGGAGAGGGAGAGGGAGGGCCCCGTTCGTAACTGCGGATCCGACATAAGTCGGATCCGCGTAACTCGGGGACTGCCTGTATTGATGCCTCTCAAGCATTTCATCTGAAGTGTAGGAAAAACTCTAAACAAGATGAAATATGAAGATTTTTTTCACAGCTCATTACCAACTAGATAACAACATGTGGTTCTGGTTAAAAAAAGGTGGGGTGCTTTCCCCAAGAATGAGCCAATTTCAAAGCAAAAAAAGGGCTCATTTTAAGTGAAAAATTTTAAAATATCGTCTGAAATTAGACTTTCAGTTGTTTCTATGTTAAAATGTCATTTTAGCATGTTTTACAGAAAATAATGGACATGTTTGCATAGTGCATAGCACAACTGGATCCTTTTCTAACTAGGATCTTGGGGCGCTTCCACTGTGTAAATATTAGATGACAAAATGAAGCATGATGTTCAACTGACTATAATGAGATGGCAACAATTTTCCCTTGAATTTTTGTTGACTTATCACCTCTTTTGTGTAGTTCTAACATAAGGAGATCTAAATCATGCTTAAATATTGTTGTGATGGTTGTTTGATACATTAAATTAGTTATATTTTACCTTACTGTGGACAGTAAGTAAATCTTTTCTATAAGGGCAAATAAAAGGCCACCATTTTTGCAGAGCTTTTTTAGTACGTGGCGGTGTAACCCACACCTAGGCAATGTCTACACTGTCAGTTTTTTGTGGAAGAAGAAAATATTGGGGGTTTTTTTTACAAAAAAAATGGCCCTGCCTACACTCTGTTTTTTTGCATAAAAACCTCTTCTGCTAAAAGGATCAGAAGAGACTATGCAAATCAGAGTGCGAGATTTGCAAATTTGGGGCTCTCATTTGCAAAGTCTCTTCTGATCCTTTTGCAGAAGAGGTTTTTGCTCAAAAAACCACAGCGTAGACGTGGCCATTTTTTGGGAAAAAACCCTTTTGCACAAGATCCTGTAAACCTCATTTTTTGAGGAATAAGGGATCTTGCACAAAAGGTTTTCTTTTTCCGAAAAATGGCCCTGTCAAATCTGTGTTTTTTTGTGCAAAAACCTCTTCCACAAAAAGGATCAGAAGAGACTGCAAATGAGAGCCCGAGATTTGCAAATGAGTGCTTCATTTGCATTTCATCTTCTGCAAAAAACTGACAGTATAGATGTAGCCCTAGTGTGGTTTTCTATCCCACGCAGTGGCACTTAAATCACAGCAACAGATAAGATCAAGAGACCTCTACAGCATGGGCTAAGAGCCAGGTAGCTTTATAGCTCAAGCTGTAGAGGCTCCTGCACTAAGCTCCAGAGTTCCTAGATTCAAATCTGATTGGTGGCAGTGTTACAGAGGTGTCAAATGTTTATTTATCTTAGATAGTACTCCCGAGTCACAGAAATCTTGGCTCCTAAGAATCTGTAATTTATCCATCTTCACACATTCCTGAGAGGCAGGGCACTGCAATTATTCCCATTTTACAGATGAAATGAGGCACAGTGAATTAAGTGACTTGCTCAGGGATCACATGCAAAGTCTGTTGTAGAATAAGGCATTGAAGCTGGGTCTTCCAAGTTCTAGGCTAGTGCCTAATCACTGGGCCATGCTTCCTCTTTCATCTCACTGCGCCTCAGTTTCCCATCTGTAAAACAGAGATGGAAATACTTCCTCCTTTTGTTAGTCTTTTTCTAGCTAGGATATAATTCTGAGAAAAGAAATAATGGGTCTGATCCAGGGCCGATGCTGAGCCCCAAAACTCCCACTGACTTCGGTGAGAACAGAGAACACTGGAAACTCACATCAGGCCTCAAAGCTAAGCAGAAGCTCACATTTTGTAACAGAGATCACCATATTTACTTAACACATTGCAGTCTTTATTGTCTTCAAACAGGCATTGCATTTTAGAACGAGTGTATTAAAGCTCTGCACCACCATGATTGATAAGATAACTTCCCTGCTTAGTTGGATAATTGCTGTTTTATGTTTCTGTTTGCAGTGGATGCAAGGACAAGTGTGGAACAGAATAATGTGACCATTTCTTCCCAGAAGACAATGGAGATAAGCTCCACTTCTGATGCAAACGGAAAGAATTTTGGGAATGACGCCAAGAATCCAACACCAGCTGCAAAATCTCGTTTTAGCTTTACTTTTTCACGGCCTGTACCAGGGCGTACTGAAGAGCAAGTTAGAGATTCATCAGTTGGACCAGCTAAGCTTGAGGTCAGTTCAGTGATGCCTGAAGCAAACAAAGCATCAAGTGAGAAAAGAGAGAGTCCTGCAACATCTGTGCTGGAGGAAGGATCAGATAAAAACCTAAACCAGGCTCCTTCTGCTGCAGAACTTAGTGAAACTGAACTAATAGCCTTATCACCACCTGAGACAGAGGAAGCAGCCCCATCAAATTCAAAACAAGTAACCTTCTTTGACAGACTCTTCAAATTGGAAAAGGGAAAGGAGAAAGAAAAAAGTAAGACACCAGTTGAAACCCAAGAGGAAAGCCAGACTGAAGAAATCCCTGACGCAGGCCTCACAGCTGAAGTGTCTGCTGGATTACAGAGCACACCTAACAGTGTCTCACAGGGAAAGGCAAGTGTTTGAATGGGAATATCAATGTCTTCCTTAATTAAATCTCTTAGGAATGTTAATGGTGCAGGGCAAAGTCATGTTCAGATGGTTGTGTGAATAAGACAGCAAATACTCTTGCTCTGTAGTGTGACCCCACACTTATCAGGGATATCTATCAATCTCTGGAAGACTAAAAAAAGCTGTGGCTTCTGTTATGACCAAATTGTTAGCGTCCAACCTACAGCTTAAATTTATTTGTATTTTTACAAAGACTTAGGAAAGATAGCTATATTCATGCTCCTTTAATCTAGAGCTAGATGATGAATGGCAGCTGGTTGCAAATGTAAAAAAAAGTACTTGGAAGCAGAAGTAACTTTCATGCTTTAGGAACTTTGGTTTTGGATGGTTTTAGGAAATTCTTTACGCATATTTCACAAAAAAATTAT